GTTAGCTTTCTCTCTCTTTACGACTCTCAAGTATCTAGATATTAATAACTTGAGGGTGAAAACCCAAATAAATGGATAATCAATCCAATCGTTAACTTGTGCTGTATCATTAGGCCTTGACTGATGGAACAGGCAACAATAGGTATTAACTTTCAAGATGTCTTGTTACACGAGCATATTCTTCACAATTTGCTATTGGGAATCCCTCAAGATATTTCGTCAACTCGGAGAAGAACACACGATAAAACTTTTATATATTAACGTCAATTTTTTGTGAAAATATAAAATAAGTTGCCAAATTTTTACTCGTAATATGAAACCAATATATAAAAATTTATACATATAAACCCCTCGAAGTAAATATTCGATACTGATAAAGGTCATCTCTAAAAGGTCGATAAGTTTGTTATTTGTATTTTCCAACAAATTTTCCTTAAGATATTGTAAATACATAACCTACTAACACATTTGTAAGGAAAAAACATTGCTTATAAATCATTTTATTGTGAAGTGCTTGAGAAAAGATGTTTTCAGTAAATTAATTGAAATATAAGGTTTATACCTTTGTCAATCTGAGATTGCCCTTTTACAAAATTCTTTAGGAGATAAGTAATGAACGAAGCTTTTTGTATTTGTAAATTCTGCTTTGTGAATTCTGTTTAGACAGAATTTTTAAATTGAAATCATATTAAATTTACTTTAGACCTTCCGAAGCTTTTAGCAGAATAAGACGTAAATTTAATAACGGACATTAGTTTGAATCCCAAATAAAACTAAGTTAAATTCTGAAGAATTAAGGGTTCTTATGACAAGCTTAAAGTATAGAGAGTCGTGCTTATTTCTTTTAATAAATAATGTCAATAATTTTTTTTTTGCAGTGACGATTACTTCTAGGTAAACCATATCGTTTCCAGGAAATATATTTAGATATTTTCATACATGTACTTACATTTATATTCATAAATTTTATATAACAAATAAAAAATTACGATCTAAGTTTTGCTAGATATTAAAAAATAATCCTATTTAATGTCAAGCCCGAGCTCAGTATAAACATTAATATAACTAATCAGCGCATTGAAAAAGTAAACAACAGCCATACCATTATATTATCTGTGCGAAAGAATGCTCGTTCTCATTTGAAAGCCGCTGCGTTATCATTCGTCCCCCGCCCGTGTCATAGGTTATCAAAGCCACGCATCCCCCCTTTATTCCATCCTGCATCGATGCAGTGGTACGATAACTTCTCAGCACGCTAATTGTATACGAATAATACGGTTTTTTTATTTATTAATTGAGAAAACTATCTAGTGAGTGAAAAGTGTACTTCCATCTGATTATTATTGGTGGAAATGTTAAGCTGGAGGGTTTCTTTGTGTGTAATTATTATAACAGGTATGTTTTTCTTTTTTTTTCGTAATTAATGACGAACTTTAAAAAAATGTTTTTTTTTATATCGGTAAGAAGTTTGTATTGAAATTAAATTGAATTCATGAAAGTACTAAATTATTTGCTTTTAAATATTAATATTATTTTTATAACACGAATGCCAACATAGATTATATCTAATAAATGGATATTATAAAAACAAATAATATATATGTACATATATATTATAATATATTTACTATATTTACGCAGTTTGACCCGTGTCGCATGACGTTATAAGTGTTGCGGTATCATTAGCTAGTGATAAACAAAAACAAAGACAAATAACAGATGCACTACTACGATGGCTTAGACCGGCTGGCGTCTTGATCTTAAGGTTATCACGAATTGAAACGCAGCGCTTTGGAGAACTAATAATTTATATAGACAATATGAAAAAATATTTAAGTAGTAGGTAGAGGTGCTATAGAATGTCTTTCAGATAATATTTAATTTCTTAACACGCTTTTATAAGCTTCACTTGTATGTTAGTTTGTTTATGATCAAAATCTTTAAATACGATTTTTCACTACTTGTAGCGATCCCATTTTTTGAAACTTTGCACGGATTTTGCCTAACACGGACTGGTGATATTGTAATAATTCGATTGAATTATTCCGAATACCCTCCCTCTTTGTCTCTTCTTACTTATTAGGCAATCTTTTTTAAGTACTTCATATATTTTTTGGGTACTTTCAGATGATAACAAAATTTCAATGAAATTTTTATTATTCATTAAAATATACTGCTGTATTTATATTTTTAAAAAAATACTCATAAAATGAGAACCTCCTCTATTTTGGAAATCTTTTAAAAATAGACGATTATCTTCACTCATCTCTCTTCATTTAGAAAAGCCATTTGAATCACCTTTATTGGTCATTTAGGGTTTTTATTTAGGCCAATATCTAAGCTGATACAGTTTGCAAACCTATTTAGACGTAGCAAAGCGTTGTAATTACTTATAATTTCTTCTAACCTGTCGAGTGTAGTAATCTTTTAAGTATATATTGTCAGAAATCAGAATAAAATATTACATATATATATTTTTAATATCATTAATAATATTTATATTTGATAATATATGTGGATGTTAAACATAAACCGTGGGAATAACGATACCGATTTCCCGAAATGAGTCAGCGAGGAAACGATACTGTTGTTCATTTTGAATGATTAATTAAATTCATTGTAGGGCCATTAAAAAATTATACATATAAGACAAAACACGTAAATTTATCTAAAAGGGAGATTTTGTATCTCCCATCTACTAAACCTGTACTATATAATAAGAACTTGTTCATTCAGTCATAACAACCTTAAAGTTGTTAATTAACATTAATACAATGCATTATATTCCTTAGAATATTTTGTGACCGCAAGAGAGGTGTTCTTCATTTGTAAACTACCTCTTAGGTCCTGATAACAACATATTGTTTGATAATAATAGGGTACACGCCTGTATACGCCATATAACACACCGTACTCTCATACTGTCTTTACAAGCAAAAACAAGGTTCCCTTTTTTGCACTTTGCTCCAATGTTCAGCTGCTGAAGGATCGTCTATTTTTAACATCTAATCTAATTCATGTGTTTCCAAATCGACCCCTAATTAGAATAATTTTTGGGCGTAACTGAGCCGCATTTTAACGGTAATTTAATCATGCAAAACAGGACTATGTAACAGCATTAAATAACTACACATTTAAGAAAAAATATTGACCTGGCTATATTCCCCTTCTTAAATAACTACACCAATATTTTTGTCTGATCTGTAAGTATAATTTACCCACAGAGATCTACGGTCTTACCAATATATTTTAAATGCATGAATGAAATAACATTTAATGAACACAAATGAAGAAAAATAAACAACTAATTAACATTGTTTGAGAGTTAACAAATTTAGATAATAAATCACAAATGTTATGTTTCCGAGCACGATAATATGATGCGTCCAATGATTTAGTCCATGTTTGGTTAATTCTATAAACCTAAATACCTCTTACGAGGCAGAGAACAACCAAATGTAAACAAAAAATACGACACTAGCGTTCATCATCATCAGCCTAGCTATCAGAGCCCACTGCTGAGCAAAGACCCCTTCTTACATGAAGAAGATTGGCACTATCCTTACAGTACTAGAATAAAAAGTCTATGTGATGTTAAACAAACAATATTTAATCATTTCATTCATTCGTTCTTTTCCACTCTTAAAAAGGTATATAAAAGTTTAGCACATTATGTTTCTTGCTAAAACAACTGGATTATACGTGATATATATGTATGTATTATAGGAAATTCAATTTGGACGTAACTATTTATATAATGGTGTATTTTTCTTAAACTATGGTTTCATTCACATTGGAATAGTGAAAAAGTTTATCTGGCAGCCCTTATACCTTTGACAGTATCTCCGTAATGTGGACAAGTTAAAACTGGGCCCTAAACAAAATGTTACAAGATGATCACAACAAAAAGATGAAAGGACAGATCTCATAGTTTATTAATTTTTGCGAATAAGTATTATTTTATTACCTAGTGTCTTAAAGCCTGGACCTATGTTTATTGTTCAATGAAGATTTATTTTGATGTTTTGTCACTTATAAGAGAATAAAAAAAACATTTATCTATAAAATATAAAAGTTGGAAGTTCGGGACACATATTTTGTGCTAAAATTTCAAACATATATCTATATGTACACGTGTACGTACATATGTTAAAACATTTCCATTATCTGGCTTCAATATAAATCAAAATTAAGAGGAAAATTACTTGAATATTATCATAGGCAACTGAAATTCACATATAAATGTATATTGAATTAAAACCTCGGTCTTCTTTTAATGTTAGCTACAATTCTTTGATATTCTTAGATAAGAATCCATTACGATTATATTCACAAATATTACGAATTGCGTTTCAATTAAAAGTCAACCACAATCCACAATGTGTCAATAAGGAGGCGTGGTGTTATCACATTGTTTACAACAATAATGATATGTTTTAATGAAGTGATGAGATCACAGGAAAACTTTAAGAGAATAAACAGTACTCGATAAAGTTATTGCGGACGGATAGAACAGTGGAATAAAACTATGATTTAATATATTTATATGGAAATAAATAAAATGAAGACACTTTTTAGAAGTTATCTTAATTAAAATATTCAACATATTTTGTTAATAAGGATTTCTTATAGAACTTTATGGTGTATGGTTTTTAATTTTTTTTGTTTCGACTTGACTGTAGCTGTTATCCCTATTAGGTTTGATATCTTCACAATACCCTGTTTTTTAAACGCTCTAAACATACAGATATGTTACACGCTATGAAAACTTACATTTATACATATGATATTTACGATTAATTAAGAATAGGTGTACTTATAATAAAGATACGAACATCTCTTAAATTCCTTTAAATAACAACGCAATAACTAGCATTAAGAAAAAAATACAGATTTAATTGACAACACAAATTAATTAAAATTATTCTTAGATTATTTCAAGATTAAACACAATCAATTCTATTTTTTCGATAGTATTACACGAATCTCAATCCGCGAAGCTGCCGTTCCTGCGTCCGGCACATCTAGGGTCTGATGATGAGGGGGGGTCGGGAGGTCAACTCGGGCTGGTCCGAGTACCGGAGGGTTTGCCTCCACCATTATGTGCTGGCCGCTGTGCCTCTCCCCCCGCTGGACCCGTCTGCGCCTTTGATGCTGCGGGCACAGCGCGAACCTTCGCCACGCTATGCGAGCTCGAGGCAGTATCGTGTCACGAAAGTACTTGTATGTATTTTATTGATTTACACATCACCAAAATTATGTAATATACATATGAAAAAAATCAATGCCGTAATTGAGTAAATAAGGAAATGTTCTAAGTAGTTAGTAGAATATATATGTTTATAAGACTTTATTTTATTTAAGAACCGATTGAGTTATCAATCTTAGATGTTCATATTAAATTATTCCTATTGAATTAAAAGTAATAGATAGATGTGTGAAAGAAACGGTAAAATTCCTAATTTTCTCCTTATATATAAAAAATTCAAAACCATATTACAAAAGCCAGGAAAACTATTGTTTTTTTCCCAACATGAGTCGGTTAATTTTATTTCTAATATCTATAACATCTGTATTTCAACGATTAAATAAAAAATAACCAAGTTATGAAATGGAATAATTGAAGTGAAATTTATTGCTATAACAACACTTATCGGTTTTATAAATAGAAATATTCTTGAAATAGTATGTGGCTGTAATTAATAAACAGTAATATATCAAGGATTTTATCAACTTTCCTTAAATAACTACATATCTATGGTAATTTATAATGAGGTCTATTAATAGTACATACGTTTAATTTATTTTAAGTTCTAGATAACAGTTTAATGTTAAGAAATTTAATAAATTAATTATTTTTTTCAGACTACGCGATCACCAGCCTTGGAGAGTGTTGAAAGAATATTATATTATAAAATATAGTTTTAATAATTAGCTTTTAAAATCGCTTTTGAATATGAAAATATTTGAAGTTAACCATTAATGTCACCGTTTAGATAATTCATAAATTCCATTAATTAATTCAAAACAAAAAAAATCTGATATTCATCCATTTTATAGAAATAATTCGAGAAATTTTATAACTAATTTTAATCTGATTAAAAAAAATTTTTGAAATCTCTTTATTCTTCGCTTCGATATTTAGCTTTAAGAAAAAATGTAGAATAATATTAAATTAATACCTTTATTTATTGTACAAAGTACAAAATGTCTTTCTGTTACATACAGATTTTGGCTTCTTAATAAAACCAAAGTTTATTCTCCTTCCAATTATTTTGTTTCCTTCAAACACATAAAGAGGATATTGTATACAAGGAAATAACAGTCACTTCATTAAAATATTTATTACAATATACATTGGAATATTTTGATATATAATTGAAGATTGTAAAATTAATTAAAATTATTCTGAAGTTGTTACGAGGATTTTTTTTATTTGTTAGAATACATCAGTAATTTTAAAATTTGAACGTTGTAATTAATTATATAATATTGTATGTTAGTATTTTGTCAAAATATTTTTCTAAAATACCTTTTAAGAGAGACGAATTGAGTCTGATCCGGGACATTGGCCTTTGCTCAATTTATGGAGAGCTGGAAAAGTAAACATTCAATGTTAATATTGGAATAAAAAATTTAAAAGTAAACAAACACGTTAACAACATTTTCATTTCCTACTTTTGCCTAAGTTTCTATTATTTTAGAAATAATCATTTGTTTTTCATGAACTAACATCTATCAACAAAATTATGAGCTACAATTGCGTAGTATTGTAAGTGTTGTAAATGTAAAAAGTTTTAAACAGAATGACATCAAAACATACATTTGAATATCTTAATTAGTGCTAATTAAATGTCATTGATGACACTACGAGTGTCAAACTTAAAAAATTATTTCTCCTGATATATTTGACGCAATGTGATCTCATTATTTGTATTACAACGATGTAATCTAAATATATAATCCATGTCAGAATAATTATTCGACTTCCGTTGAATCACAGCTCTTTATACCTGTTTTTGCAACATGCACCGGTAATAATAAATAATAGAGTAAAGAATGACTCATACTTCGATCAAACAAAGCAATGTTCTTTTCACGGCATTACGTCATGTCACACTCTGGTGGCCTTAAATACATTAAACTATTATACATAGGCCATAGTTACGTAGGTGTACGGAAAAAATGTTGGTACGCTTTTTAAGATGAAATTATATAAAATTTATTTAGATGTATGAAATTAAATGTTCAATAATATAAGTGTTACTAAATAAATTAGTGCAATCATTTTTAAATAACGTAAAAATAAGAAATTAGCTTTCATGTGAATAGAGGCAAGGAATTAAAACAAAATATTACTGTAGAGAGTCTCTAGTAGGTATTTAAGGAAAAATATTTTATTGTTTTTATATATTTATGGAAAAAATTTTGGGTATTTGCAAATGAAATGGGATAAATAAATTTCATGTAGACCGATTGTAAGGAATGAATTAATTTAAATAACTCTTGTTTGAGTCAGAAAGTAAACATAACTCATAGAACACTTACTGTCATTATTCTCACAGTTGTGGTTGTTCATAACACATTCATTGCCAAATGATTTGGATTTTTCGCCAGGCTTTCCGGCGCACACGGGATCGTACTTGACCGAGGAGCAATCTTGCAAACAGGCCTTCTTCCTAGCCGCTTCCGCCTTCAATTGTTTTAAGTCAGGCTTATCAGGACGGCAAGACACCGCTACCAACATCGCAGCTGTCGAAATATTCATTCCAAAATTACATACAGTATTCTAATACACTTAAAACTACATGTATAGAAGTTATTGAAAATATATTTTGATTAAATACGTAAATGATAGTCATTATCATTCTTCTTCTACCTGGCAATTTAGCAGCTTTTACCAGGATCTGCAATACATGTTGAGAATAGTTTTAGCTATTTGTTTTTATGACCGACCCTCTATCTGACATCAACCCTCTTTGGTAATGCATTAATCAGTGATATCTAAATACTCTTAGAAAGTACATATGACTCGGAAAAATCACATTGGTACTTGCCAGAGTCAGGATCGAACCCGCGCCCTCATGCATGAGAGGCGGGCCTGTTAACCATTAGGCCACCACTGTAGTCATCATCATTGAAGGATGTTAATCTATTTTACCCTGAACCCAGAACGTCTTGATTAAGACTTGGCGTAGGCGAATACTCGTTACGTGCTAAGTGCTTGCCTTTGACCTCCATTAAAGTATTAGAATCATAAAACGTAAATCAGATAAACGCAGGAAGAAATAGCGTTTGGCTCTGTTGACTACCTTGTTAGGCGAATCCCAACTTGTAGTATAGAGTAACTTCGTTCTGACATTGAAACTATATACTTATGAATTATAAAACAGAAACATATTGGATATTATTTATATATTCAAATGTTTTTTGAACATTGATAACTAGTGCCTGCTGAATGGTTTGGAGTTTTAGTTGGTGACAATAGGTTTACCTCAGGGCAATGCCCTTGCGATTAAGAAAAAAAAAACTATTATTCAAGAAGTAATAGAGTAACAAATATGTAGTTGAATTTAAAACTTCCTCTCTTTATAGTCTGTTAAAAAGTGGAATAAGTTGTACCAATGACATTAATTATTTGCGAGAGAAAGTGACGCCAAAATAGGTCCAGCCGTTTCAAATTCTGACTTTAGTCATATGTGTTTGGTGAGAAGCTGTTAATTTGAAATTACAGAGAGAAAATTCAATCTATGTATTTTATTATAGCACCTAAGTATAAGGAACTATGTAAAAACACCTTCATGTATGTGTTTTTACATCGGAAGAAATAAAAATAGTTTTAAAAGTAATTTTCTATAAACAGAAAATTATATTCTATAAAGAAAAAGAATTTGAAACATCCACTTTTTATTCCAAGTTATTGATAAAAATATTTATTAAACTAATGGCTGCCTGATCGGAGATATTTATAAATAAAACATTTTATAATTCTTAGAATATATTTCTATTACACTTTCCTATTGTAACATCTTCAACTACGTACAATACTATCATAAGAATCCGCCAAGCAATAACCACACAATTTATATTTCAGCCAATCCTAATTATTTCAAAACACAACGCGTATACAAAACAATGAACTATATTTTTATTTTCTGTCAAATATTTGTTTTTTTTTATTTCAAATTAAACTATGTACTTATAATATTTTTATGATATACTAAACTTACCAAAAATAATCAAAGTGGCAGCTTTCATCTTGATAACAAACAGGTTTACTTCTCTCGTTGATTGTCCACTCACTACTGGCTATAATCCAAAGGGGACCTGTTACTTTTTATACCTTGAGCCTGAGCCACACACACAACCTTTACGAAGTGTGATGAATATATAAGAACGATATACATTACTGATTTTTTATTTATATTTAAAAAAATGTATCACATCTATCGTAAAAACAGAGCAGTGGTCAGTCAACATATTTCTGTTTCCCCTCCATACCTTGCATTATGAATGTTTCTTTATCTAGAGGTCAGATACCGGGTTGAGCTAGAATATTCTGCGCAGAAGAACAGTGATGAGATTAATTTATTTATTGAAGCTAATGACAGAGTGATAATTTGATTTATTTGTTTTGTCTGTTCACTCCCACTTTGAGTTTTTTTTATTATATATTTGATGTGATTTCTAAATCTAAGATAACTCAGGAAAGTTCTGCAATTTTATTATTATGAATCTGATTTTAATGAATTTTGTACAAAATTTTACTTTTAAGTTAATTTAGTCTTTAAATCTTAACATTGGATAGTACAAAGTATTGTAGCTCTTACAAAGGATTAATAGACGTACAAAATTGGAAGAATGTAGAAATTGTCATGGAGAATTTGTAATTATAGTAAAAATAAAGTTATTTTAATTTATAAGGTTTTATTTGAACTAATATTATAAAGAGAAAATATTTTTTTGTTTGGTTGTTTGTTTGTTTGTTTATTTGTTACGAATAGGCTCAAAAACTACTGGACCGATTTTAAAAATTCTTTCACCATTATGATTGTACATCTTTCCAAAGTAACATAGGCTATATTTAATTTTGAAAAAAATGAGGGATCCTTGCGAAAACTTAGATAACATAAACCACGGTCGATAAAAATCACTATTGAAATGCCTTAAATCGCGTGCGCTGCAATAACTATTGATGATGGAGCAAAATAATGTACTACGATTTTGTTGACCGTATTATTATCTATCGTGAATCGTGTAAACTGCAAACTGTATCGTGAATCGTGTAAACTGCAAACTGTATCGTGTATCGTGTAAACTGCAAACTGTATCGTGTATCGTGTAAACTGCAAACTGTATCGTGTAAACTGTAAACTGTATCGTGTATCGTGTAAACTGCAAACTGTATCGTGTAAACTACAAACTGTATCATGTATCGTGTAAACTGCAAACTGTATAACTATGCTAACTGTATAACTATTCTACGCGGACGAAGTCGCGGGCACAGCTAGTAATTTATATAAAGATGCTTGCTTAGGCAAAATCCGATATTTAATCGACGAATAGATGGCGCTCTAAAGAAATAATGTCTATCTGCGTATTGCCATCTGTCGTGCAATAGCAGAATAAATAAAAGAAAACAACTAAATTAATCAATAGGTGGCGCTGTACACAACTCAAGAATCATCAAAACAATTCCAAATGTAAATCACCTATGAGGAGAGTATTCCCTTATTTCTCTATCTAATGTAATAATATGGTTTCCAATGATTAAATTCTTAAAATCTATATTATCCCTCTATAGTTACTTTATTTTTATTCTTGACCTTGTTATTATGAAAGTTATCTCAGTGGAACATTTAAAGAATCTTTTTAGTAGAAAGATTTTTCCTTTGTAAGCGTTAAAATTTAATGTAAGGTCACAATAACATCTACTAATATTACCTTTAAAAATCATACAAGTTTTGAAAAAAAATAACACCGATAATATAAACATCTTTTTTTTATTCCAACTTATAACCATACATAATATACACAGTACAAAAAAAAACTTGTTTTCGCCTAGTACAGCAAAAGGACAAATTAAAATTGTCACATCTTGTTTAACTATTCATTTTATAACATACCAACTAAATAGAGAAATCTAATATAGGAGAAACTTATCTACACGCCGTGTTTAATGTACAATGCTTCGAGCGAATACGTTTTTAATTCAATACAATAACTTAAAAATACAGACTCCTTAATATGTACTCGATGGAATTCGAATTAAAAAATTTACACGTTACATACACATATCACTATAACTACAAATAAGCTTGTTTATGAAGAGTGAACGTTTATTTGTATTTCGAATAAGGAACATAAAACATATCCACATCTCGACGATATCACCATATTCAGACTAATTTACATTGCACACGGTCAAGATCACATAGCGAGTACATTCACACACACAACCGGCTCTATCAACATCTTAAACACGAACAGCGCACAGCGCGTATCACACTCCGTCCCAAACTTACGTTAAATGCGAAACTTAGCGATTAATTACGTTCCAAGTTGAGATCAATTGAGAGCGTCTCATTGTGTATCGGCGAGCGCGTCCTCCAAGCAGCAGAGAGAGTCCTTGACCGCGTGGTACACGATGTTCTTGATCTGCAGCTTGTCCTCCTTGTTGGCGTGCTGGCGGGACAGGCGGCGGAACTGATGAGCCAGCTCGAAGCAGCGGGACACGTTCTCCGGAGACACGAAGTCCTCGGCCACTTTGATACAGTCCAGCAGGTTGCGGACCTGGTGCGGCGCACCGGCCGGCACGAACACCGCGTCGCCCGGACACTGGAGGATCGCGTACCCCTCCACGCCGTACTCCCGGTACAGTCGCTCACGCAGCGCCGCGTCAAGATACCACGTCTGGTCGTGTACAGGATCGTGCTGTGCTCGCGGCCGTGCACCTCGCTCGAGCTCCGCCCTCACCAGCAGGTCGCGGATTTTGTCAGCGTCTCGTGCAGCGTATATATGCCACAGGGCGGCGGGCGGTCTGACCCGCGCTCTTCTCCGCGCTAGTACATCGACCCCGGCGTCTTCGGCTGCCCGCGCCGCCTCCCTCGCCCTCTCGGGAGCGTCGGCCGGTGCGCTCGCGTGTACCATCACATTGACAGCGTCGCTCACGTCTAGATGCAGATTAGTAGTCCCGCCCGCGCCGCCGTACGCCGTGTACATCTTGGGTCCGAGGTCCGGTCGAACGAAACACTCGGGCAGTCTGGCCGCCAGGTTCAGTCTTCCGTTGCGTGAGGTGTACTCCGCTAGAGGGAGCGCCCGCATGAGGTCGTCGAACCTCGCGGGCATGAGCTCCGCGAAGTCCTCCCCGGGCGGCCAGTCCTTTAGTTTCAGCACCATGGGCGCGCCTCGTTCATCTCGTAACCTCTTCGCGGCTAGTTCAAACCCGTCCCAGAACTTCCTCGCCGGTTGGTTGGGCACGACGAGTCCGGACGCGCAGTTCACGAGGTCGACCCTGGTGTCGCCGAAGTCCCGCGAGAAGCTCTCCGGACTCCACAGATCTTTGTCCAGGATGCTCGATACGTCCGACACTAGAACGGGCTGGCCACGCTTCCATTGATCCTGGAACAAATTAACATGGTATTTAGTAAAACAATCCAACTAGACATATGTAAGTAATGAAATGGAATTTCATTAAATCCAAATTTGCCGCCTTTCGCACGTTTGTAACTTGTCGACCAGAGACGC